GCTCTCAGCCAGAAACCAATAAATCCCGGGGACCCCTTCCTGCAAAAATTCGAAGTCAATGACAGATGAGTGTGAATTTCCACCATCACAAAAAGGATCAGAGCTTTCCATCTCAATGGCAGATGGATCCAGAGGGATTTGGAGGGTTTTGTTAGAATTTGATGGTGTCCATTCTCACTGGATGGATAGGAATTCCTCCTAGATGACTTCAGGGGCCGGAAAGTTAGACCAGTGTAGCCCGCCTGCATCTGAACAGTGGGGTTCTTTTGGCTGCAGGCTCTCTCCCAGGGCTGGGCTGAGCTAGGTCCCCTCCGGGGTATTCTCAAGGGATCAGTCCTCAGCTTCCTGGGTCATAGAATTCCCAGGATAGGACAGGTCCTAGTTGGCTTCTGTTTCTTCTGGAATTTCCTATTTCCTGGGAAAAGTGTGAGGTCATGTCCCCTTTTACAGGGGACAGTGGGACCCTGGGGAGGGCACTAGATTTGTCTAGATTTCTGGGCATTCAGAGTTCTGATCCCCAGGAGAGCTGGGGGCCTGCTTTGCAGGTACCATCTTGACCAGTTGCTCTCCTTCCTCAGTGAGGTCCTCTGATGACTCAGCAAGGCTCTTTCTTCTGTCCCCAGTTAGGAGAAAACAGGACCTAACCATGGAGCAAAGAGCAGAGCTGGGCTGAGCACTGCACGTGGCTCTGACTCAGCCAAGCCCTTGTGTCTCTCAGGAGCCCACATTTCAGAGTCCCCTCACCCTGTGTTACAGCCACAGGCTATTGTCTTATCCTTCTCAGAATCTTGGCATCTCTTGCAGCTCCCAGCAGGAGACCTGGCAGGCACGTGGTAGGGCTCAGGAAATGGTTGCCAAATTGCTCTCTGTGGCTCCAATTACGTTCCCCAACAATGTTCCCCCCAATCTTTTCACTGGAACCTGTTGCCCCTCCATTTCAGGAACAGTAGACCCCAGGGGCTTGTCAAACCAGACCCTGTCATTAGGTTTTACACTTGGGTAACTGAAAATCACCTGAGGTTAATGATCCAATCTGGTCAGTGGGATGGGCTCCCTCAACCTACCAATGGACCCTTGCAGAAAACCAAGCAGACTGGGAGGGTCCTAGCCTCCATCCCCTCACTGCCTTGGTGCACGCTGTTGTAATACTTCTTCCCTCTGCAGCTGCCTCCAGTCTCCACTGTAACCTGGTCTCTTAACTGGCTGTGTGTGTGTGTGTGTGTGTGTGTGTGTGTGTTGACGGCAGCGGTGGATCTGGACCCACAGGCAGATCTGGACCCACAGGCAATCTCCTGGCCCTGCTCCCCAGCTCTGCCCTAGTGCACCCCCATTAGATGACCAGTCCTTACTTTCCCCATCCAGGACTTCCCAACAATGTCACATAAATACTTTATCCTGGAATGACTGCCATGGTGGAGGAGAGCAGCCTGACACCCCTAGCTGCCCCAAGAAGGCAGTGGAGAGCAAGAGTCCATTGGGTGGAGGGAGCCCATCCCACTGACAGGATTTGATCATTAACCTCAGGTGATTTTTCACCTGAAATCAACTCCCATAGGCTGAAACCCGATGGCAGGGTCTGGTCTAGCCAGCCCTGTTTCTTGAATGAAAGGGCAACAGGTTCAGGTGAAAGATTGGGGAAACATCAAGGGCTGAGGGCACCAGTACATCCTCTGACCCAACTCTAACCAGGAAGATGCTCTGATTTAAGGTGGGTCCTCCCTCTGTGAAAACAAATGAAACAACAGACACAGTTGGCTCAAGTGACATATTTCAATATAATCTCTAAAACTCTATGAATTGAACAGATAAAATACCTCTGGGCTATTTTGTTACAAAATATTTGCCATTTGGATTAGTTGCTGGGTGCAGCCACCCTGACTTTTCCTAGAGAGGTGTCTCTCCAGTGGGGTGAACGGTGTACGTGGGGAGGAGGGGCACAGCGAGAAGGGACATACAGCTGAACACAGGGACAGACAGATGGATGGTTGTCAAGAGGCCTACTGGGCACAAGAGACATCCTGGCAGGCTCTGGGGGACAAGTGGGTGAGGGATCAAAGGCCCAGGGCCGAAAAGTGTGTGTGGGAGCAAGACATCTTTGTGAAACTTGTGAACAAACAGACAGACAAGCAGGCTTCTGGGACAAGCTGCTGGGGCCGGGCCTGTTTCAGGCCTGAAGGTGGGACTTGGCCAAAAGCTGGTGGGAAAGCTAGTTTCATCCCCCACTCTCAATTCTGGAGTTGGGGCCAGGTGGATAAATTGGGAGAGGGGACCAAGTCCCCTAAAGTAAGGCCTAGAGAGTTGATGAAGTGGGGCCATCTTGGTGTGATTGGGTCTGGCGGCTCAGTCAGCACTCCACTGCCCTCTTGGGAGAGCAGGAGGGCCAAGGGCATCTCTGCCAGGCCCTCTGGGAGGACTGAACCACTATCATGGGGAGGGACAGGAGGCTTCTCCTAGGTCTCTGTGGAAAAGGACAGAGACAGGTCCCAAACTTAGCCTGCTGGCTAAGTGGGTAGGGAAGTTACAGATGTTGGGAATTCTGACTTCCCCTGACGGTGAGGAGGCCCAGCTGTCTCCTGCCCTAGGTGATCAGGGGGTCAGAGTCCCTCCCTGCTCAGAACTGCTGGGTGCCCATGACCCCACGCTGATCTGCTTCCTTTGCAGAAAGAGTACATACATGTGCCAACCCTAAGACCCCTGCGGTGGAAAGTCAGGCCTTTGGGGGGGGGGCAGTGTTACTGTGCCCATCAACAGGAAGGGAGGGCACTCTTTCAGCTTGAAGCATGATGTGAGCAGGAGACCTTGGTCCTGATGATGGGGACCAAGTTGTCTGGGCTGTGCCCCTTCCTCGGCAGCCCTTGGCATCCACGGTTCCCACCCCACAAATATATTTAGCTGCGCTCATAGCTCATTCTTTCATAGCTCATACCCTGCCTCCTATTCATAATTTTCACCTTCATTTGAGATTTATCCATTTCCATACTGCAACTCTACTTCCTCCCAAGGCCCTGACACCTCTTAGCCAAGGGCAATGAGGTGTCTGACCTGTGCACCCCATCTGTCCATCTGTCAGCTGCTCCATTCCAAAGGCTTTGACTGGAACATTCCTGTTACAGAAAAGACCCTGCAGGGGGGCCAAGGCAGCCAGGACAGGGAGGAACAGATGGGCTGGGAGCCCCAGGGGAGCCAGCAAATTGGCTGCAAGTTATGAGTTATGGAAATTGGGCCGACAAAGACAGAAATAAACTCACTGGGTGACATCATAATGACGTCTGGGTGACCACACATGTACATAAGAAACTAGGTCATCTGGCCTCTCCGAGAGCCAGGAATTATCTGTGCCTCCTACCTGGCCCAGAGTACTGCAGGTTGGGGTGTGCAGTAGGGACTGGGAGAAGCCAATTCAATTTAGGCTTGGGCAATATTCACTGTGTCTTTCTGGGTGCTTTAAAAACAGGCTCTGAGTAGGAGACGGGGTGGGAGAATCTTAATGAAGGAGCGACAATGGTTGGCACAGGACTAGAGACTGGCCTGGCTTGAGATAGACACTTCCTGGAAGGGTCATGATTGGGGAGAATAGCACTGCCCCTGTGGACTTTGAGGATGGGCTGCCTTTCATCTGACTGGGGAGAGGACACTTCCCTGGGCTCCGTGTGGCCACCTGAGGTTGGCTCTGATTCTGCTCTGCCCTGGGAAGTCAGGGAGCTCTGCTTGGCTCCTTTGCAATTTCTTCTTCTTCTTCCTCTTCTTCCTCTTCTTCTTCTTCTTCTTCTTTTCTTCTTCTTCTTCTTCTTCTTTTTTTTGGTACTAGGTATTGAACCCTGCTCTACCACTGAGCTACAACCCCATTTTTTAAATTTTGAGAAAATTCACTAAGTTGCCCAGGCTGGCCTTGAACTTGCATCCTCTTGCCTCAGCCTCCTGGGTTACCAGGATTATAGTCTTTTGCAATTTTGAGAGTCCAGGATTCTTAGCCATCCCTACTGGAAGTGGGTCCATACCTTCCAGAAGGGGGACTATTTAAAGGCTGGGGGTAGCAGGGGAGATGCAGCCTTTGGAGCCCCACTTCTCCTGCCTGCCTCCGCACCCAAGCCTCTCCTGGAGGCCACAGAGTCATGCAAAAAGGAGCCCTGCCTCGGGGCCAAGTGGCACCTCTTCTGGGCAAATCATTGCCTCATCCCCTTGTTTCTGCTTCCACATTGGTTCTCATGTGTATTTATGTGCAAGGGCCTGTGTGCTCTTGGCATTGACTGGGTATTATTTACGGGCCAGGAGATTAAGAAATGCTTTTAAAAAGTGCATTTGGCAGATATATGATCCAGCAATTCCATGGCCCTGTTCATCTGGCCCAGAGACAGCGGAGTGCTCCCCTTTCCCTTTCTTGAGCCCTCCTGGAATCAGGCCAGCTCAGGAAAAGCCCCAGGAAGAGGAAGAGGGGAAAGACATGGTCAGAACAGCCAATGTCTTTGGGGGAACTATGGAGAAGCTCTCTGAGACTGCCAGGCCTGGGGGACAGGGGCAGCAGAGAAAGTCCCCCTTCTCACATCTCCCACTCATTGGTACCTCCAGGGACCAGGGTCTACTCTCCTCCACTCAGCCACAGATGCATCTGGTCCTGGGGCTGTGAGGCAGCTGCTTTCCATCCAGGGCTCTGCTGCTCGCCACTGGACACTAATAGACTTAGAGCCGGCCACCTGTTAGTCCCTCATCTCTATTTTTCTTTAATTCACGGTCCAACTGGGGAGAGTGGTAGCCATAGGAAGAGGAGGTGTTACCTCATCTGGCCATGTCTCCCCCTCTTGGGGGAAGGGGTGCTCAGCTGAGTAAGGGGAGGATGTTTGGACCAAGCAAACCCATGTTCCAGGGATTGGGGTTCTTTCCAAAATGACAGTGATCAGTGACCAGGAACACATCGTGCCAGGGTGTGGGGAGCAGCGAAGGACAGCCCAAGTCCCCCCCAGTGGACAGCTCTCCTAGGACAGTAGGGTGCTGGGGGACAGAGTCTACACCAGGCTCCTTGAGCCGCTGGAATAGCGGCGCCGATGCAGCAGGGAGCCCGGTGGGCAGAACTGGTGTGGGTGGTTGTAGGGGGGTGGGGGCGGGGGCAGTGGAGGCTGGTGGATGACCTTGACCGGGGAGCCTGGGCCGCCCAGAGGTGTGGAGCCACAGGAATCAGAAGAGGATGAGGCGTAGCAGGAGAGAGCCTGGCTCAGCAGGGGCTCCATGCGGGCCAAGCAGGGCTTGTCCAGGACAATGACCTTGACAATTTGCTGGCACTGCACCAGGGTGCCTGGGGGCGTGGGTGGCGGTGGCAGCGGTGGGGGCTGCTCTCTCAAGGGGCTAGGCTGCAGGTCTGGCAGCTGCGGTGCTCCCCTCTCGGCCCCCAGCCCGGGGTTGTGCTGGGACGTTTGAAGCCTGTTGTGAATTGACACCTAGTTTAGAAACAGCCAGAGAAGCATGAAATGTTACAAGACTAATTCCCAGCTGCTAGGACTGGCTACCCTGAGCCTCCCTTTGACTCCCTCCCTCCCTCTCAGCCCTTTCTCTGACCTGCGACCCATCTCTCTACCCAGAGGAAAACTGGTTCTGACTCTGGTTCTTGTGAGCAGGGACAGAGGAGGTAAGAGACTGTCCACAGGCAACCATAGCACTCCATTCCTCAGTTTCCTCATCTGTGAGATGGATTCTGCCTGAATCTGCAGTCTGATTTCGTGGACTTGCTGGGAAGCTCTAGGTCAAGGGCTAATTCCTTCCTATGACCCTCTGTACTGACCAAGCTTGAAAGGTAGGGGTAATGATCTGTATCTGCTCAGGGCCTCCCAGACACTATGTAGACACTGTCCCGGATTGGGCACAGGGGCAGAGCCTGGTGTTTTGGATTCTTCAATCCCATTTCCTCTCTCCAGCTTCACTGTGCTGTTGACCTAAAGGTGCCCCAACTTCAGAATGCTGGGGACCCCTGAAAGGGGTGTTCTGGGCCTACCCATCCTCCTAGACTTCAAGAACAGCCCAGGCAGCCAAGGGCAGAGTCAGGCCCCACCCTCCTTTCCATCTCAATCTGCGCTCTGCTACAGGAAGGGAGAGGCTCTCCTGTTTATCCCTTGGGTGGAGCAGGAAGAGGTGACCTGGATGGTACTTGTAAGACTATGGAGGTCAGTATGAACTTCCCTAGCCTCATCCTGCTAGCAGGGCAAGGTGGAGAAAAATGGGTGGCAAGGGGGCTAGATTTTTCTGGAAGGAGAAGGATTTAATTCCTTATCTTGTTCCATGCCACACCCAAGCCCCCAACCTGTAGATATGTCACATCAGAACCCTCTACAAACACTGGGGCCTTTTGAGCAGGGTGGGTGGAACCCTTTCCCCTCTCTGAGGATGCTTCCTACTGGGCTGTCAGCTGTCCCTGGGCACCACCACCTGGGGCCAGTTGCTCACAGTGCAAAGGAGGACACTGAAGCTACAGGGAGGGGGACTTATCTCAGGCCTAGACTGGGTGGTCCAATCCAAAACTGTCTCTGAGCCCTAAACCAGCATTCCCTAGTTCTGTTTATTGCTAAAGGTATAATTTCAGGGACCCCTTTTCTGGAAATAGGTCCTCCCAGTGGGTTGCTTCTCTCTCAAGGCTCCCCACCTTTGTTTTCCCCTCAGGATTCACAGGCCCCACTGCCACCCAGCACCTTACAGGCTTTATCCTTCACCCTCAGATTCCTACTGCACTGTCCTAGGCTGACTGTCCAGGTCTGAGATCCCCCTAAACAAATGGAGGTGCCTCAAGATACATGGCAGGAGAGGGCACAGCTAGGGCTTACTCTTCCTTTCACGGAGCCTCTGTGGTCCTCATCTTGGCAGAAGCCACTGCCGGAGGTCATGGGCACCTTCCCCTACTTGCTTGTATTTTGAACTATTCCCCAGGAGACAAGTGGCTTGAGAACAGCCAAGCTAAGCTCAGGGCCCATCTGCCTCCCTGTCCCCACCTTCACAGTGCTCCCTCTCAGGGAGAACACCTGGTCACTCAGCCCAGACCCAACCTTCCTGATCCTCCTCCTCGGCTGCTCCCAGGAGGCCAGAAGCTCTTGGCTTCTTCCAGAATCTCCCTCCACCTCCTGCTCTAGTTCTCCTCTGCTGCACTGCAGCCCCCACCCCAATCTGGGTCCTTTATTTTTGATGGTCAGTAAGTGAAAAGCAGGACGTGACAGCAAGATTCCCTATCATTTTAACCCCCTTCTCACCTCCCTGCTCATGAAAGAAAGAGAAGAGAGAGGATGGAACATGAGTAGCAGCTCAGAATAGCTCAGAGAAGATGGAGAAGCGCCTGCCAGAGGGGCTCGGCCAGGCAATGATGGAGGAGAGGGCAGAGGACGAGAGCTTGGGGTCCAGCTGAGAGGCCATGGGGTAGAGAGGCTACCCTCTGTGCAGGGGAGCAGAGGCTGGCAGGGCCCTGGAGCTAGCTGAGGGGTAGCAGCCTTGCAGATAGCCACATGGCCCCTAAGGGCAGGTAGGAGGGGAGATAGGGTGTTCAACTGGGGTCTTCCTTGGGCAGCCGGGGCTAAGGCTTGGGCAGGGCTGGCAGAACAAGCCGCTGGGCTGGTAACTGGGCATGTTTATCTGCAAGGCTGAGAATGGGCAGCTGCAGGAAGATGGGGAGAGGTGGGTGGGGGATGGAATACCCACCCTGGGGGCTGGTCAGCTGCTGGGGCAGGAAGCTCCTCCGAGTAAAGGTGCCTCCTCCAGACACACGTGTGTGGGGGGTGGGGGCCAAGGGGACAGAGAAGAAACTGATCTCCCCAGGACATCCTGTGGCTTCCCAGGACTTGGGCAGGCTCCAGGTGGGGCTCCTCCCTTATTTAGCTGGGTGGGAGCCTCCACTTTGAAGTGGGGGTTGGGAAAGGATCATCTGTATGTGCAGTTAGAGGTCCCCAGGGGCCTGGCAGCAAAGGAGTAAGGTTGGGTCTCACAGGGGTGTGAGGATCCAGTGTGGAGGGCTGGGACCCAGCAACATGCCAGGGCAACTCCATGGTCCCCCACAGGGGAGACACCCTGGGGCTGGCAGGGACCAGATGCTACTTCCCCAGTCCCTTCCTGGGTGGCTTAGGGAGGGACACCACCCTCTGCCTCCAACACAGCTGGTCTTAATATTAATCAGCTCTTCCCCCAGGAAGACCTCTAAGATGACCCAGCCCAAGTCTGACTCCTTTTTTCCTGTGCACATCACTGTCCCCCGGGGGCCAGCTTTCCGGGGGACCAGATGTTCTGAGGAGAAGCTACTCCTCCCCCCTTGCTCCCACTCTCAATTCTCCATCTTTCCTAGGAGGTATCCAAAAGGGCTGGTCTGCCGGAGAAATGTTCACTTTGGGGATTTAATGGGTGACTTTCTAGAGGGAACCCAGGCTCCCTCCTACAGGGATGGAGGACCTGAGAAGGGAATAGTGGGTTCTCTAACACAGCAAATACTGGAGAGCAGTGGAGAGTCTGCTGGGGAAGTAGATACGGGGACAGCATGGGTGGGAGGGACACGGGGGTGTCATGGGCTTTGTTTCCATGGGGCTGGTCTGGGAGCTCAGCCTTGGAGGGCAATGGGCAGGGAGGGCTGGGCTGGGGAGTGGGCAGAAAGTGCTTGTAGCTTAACTGGGGGCTGGAAGAGTGGCATTACCCATGCTAGCAGTAACTTTTAATTGTATCTCTTGAAATTGGTAAAATGGTGAGTCGGGCTGGGGAGGCATTGATTAATACCTGAGAAGAGAAACAACAGAGACGGTGAGAAGAAGGACAAGAGGGGCACAGACTCACTCACCTGGACACAACCAGGCCTCCACTTACCTCCCCTGAGCTCTCCACCGGCTTCTCCCCCAGCGCGGCTTCCCTTTTGGCTTTGAATGCAAACAGCATAGGCTCATTCTCTACCAGTCCTGGAGGGAAACCTGGCCCACCCTACTCCTCCCCTCCAGCATCTCTGTTGTTGGCTGTTGAGGGCAGCAATACCGTAAGTGCCATCTGTGCAGATGACAGGCTGCACTGTACAGGTAAGAATCTCCATGCAGCAGGAACTCAGTTCTACCACTCAGTGGCTGTGTGATCTGGGCAAGATGCTGCATATCTCTGGGCCTCCACACACTAGCAGATGTCTGATGTTGACATTGTGGAGTCTAATTCCCCACAGTCAAAGCCTTTCCAAAATGGACTAGGAAAGCTGGCTGATGGGGTGAGTCCTGGTTTGTGGGTATCATGGTAATCTGCCTCCTTCACCCACAGGCCCCTTGAGGGAGAAGCCTGACTTTGTTTCTGTCCCTGTGACTTGGTTGAGTGGTGAGGACTTGATCAGTTGAGGCCTTCACAGCTCAAAACATGGTGCCCCACACGCATCAGAGCCTATAATGGCCTATAATTACTAGTAAGGCATTCTGCCTAGCCTGGCACAGCAGCAGGGACCCTGCGGACCCCCAGGGACAGCTTGATGACTTTTCTGGCTAAGTCACTGATAGTTTCCACCCACCCCCAGCAGGAGCCCCTCTGATTTCTCAACTCCTGGGGGTGCCAGCTCCCCTTGCTAGTGTACAGCCCTCTGTTTTCCAAAATGCAAGAGGGAGCAGCACCACTGTTTGGGAAAGAGAAACGCCTCACTGCTGAGGCCACCGATGGCCAAGTCCCTGAGGATGTGCTGGCCAAGTCCCTGGGGATGCGCATCCTGGCCTGACCTGTGCTTGCAGCTCCCAAAAGAGAGGCCAGCGGGGATACAGGCTGTGGGTGAGAAGGGGTAAATCACAGCTGAGGGCCGGCTGTGGGGTTTAGACCGCCCTGCAAAAAACAGTGACCCACATCCTATGACCTTATAGAAACAAAGGGGCCCCCTAACAGGCTGGGTGGAGAATTATGGGTGCACCATGGCAGGTCCAACCATCCGCAAAGATGACAGTTATAGTAAGAATCTCCGTGCAGCAAAAAGAGCCCCATGTCTTGCTCGGAAGTGAATCCTAAGTCCCAGCTGATGTGACCAGTCCCTATATCTGGGGACAGCTATGGAGGGTTTGAGACCACATGGAACCCACTGGAGTTTCTCAGCTCAGGCTGACACCTTACTATGACCCTGGTTTTCTGGTGTTCCATGTAGAGCAGCAGATACTCAGTAGGCATTTTTTGAACATGACACTGAATGACTGGGTTATTGAACAGTTCTCGATGTTTGCTGGGGTTCTGTTGGGAAGGGGTGTAAGTCTCATGCCATGTCTCCCCATTCCTTTTATTTGTTGCTGGTGGAAGGGAGGTGGTGCTCCCTGAAAATGATGAATAAAGTCGGGGCAGCAGATAGAAGGAGGGGGCATGGCAGGGGTTGGGAGAAGCAGGTGTAGAGACTATGGCAAAAGGGACATGTCTGAAGCTTATTCAACTTGGCGGGGAAACAATTCAATTTGAAGGAGTTGAGTTTGAGGCTCATCTGGATCTTGGGGTAGGCTGACCTGGGCTTGGGGCTCATTAGGGAAAGAATAAGGCTCTGCACCAGGCACAGCAAGATTCAAGATCAGACCCAGACCCTCCTGGCCATCCTTCCTTATTACACTGCTCCTCCCATCGGGGCCAGGACTTGATTTCTCCAAAGTGCATTGTGACATTTCTCATGGGCTCCAGAACTCTGGTGCAGTTTGCAAAATGGATAGGTTTCTCTCTCACCTTCCTTTTCATTTCCCTACTGAAGCCCATGAGATTAAAGACAGCAACCCTGGAGCTCCACAACAGAAAGAAATGGCCAGAGAAAGGGGCACGTTTCCCACCCAAATCACCCAGGAGCCAGGTGCAAGCGCCTCAAGTGTCCATGTGGGCCAGGGACCGGGGGCAGAGCTGAGGCTCACCTGTAGGCGATCCTTGCTTCGACTGTGAGTCCACCTGGGCTCCCCCAGGCTTGAAGGAGAGCGTCTTTGTTCCCTGCTGCTTTTCCAGCTCCCCTGAGGAAGGTAGAGGCCATGAACAGACAGGAACCCTAAATTCTACCCCACAGAGGTGAGCAAGGAAAAGTGGGGAGAGCCGGAAGAGGACTAGGAGAGCCCTACTACATGCTACAGGGAGGGACCTTAGGGTCTGGCATGGCACTCAAGGTCCAGTTAACTCTTCTCTGGGGCCACAGTCTCATCTGTACATCGGGATGGCAAGATCTGCTGGAATGCCAGAGGGGCAGTGGAAGAGGCTAGTCTGAGGAAGGTGATGTACCTGGGCTGGAATCCTGGCTCTGACGCTCCCTAGCTGTGTGGTGTTAGGCAAGTTATCTTAGCTTTCTGTGCTTCTCTGCAGGGAAGACAAAGTCGGTATATCTAGTCCATCCACGTGTATCTGGAAGAACTGAGCCCACCTCAGCTACTGGGCTTCTGCATGTGCTCAAAGCTCTCTCTCAAGAAGGAGATTCCGCCTACCTGGGCATCTGTAGGGCTTGCACAGCCCGTGTGGCCAGGACATCTATCTTGGCATTCCACTTTAATGCCTCTCCCTGGACTGGAAACTTGTTCCATCTCGTCCTCCCCGTGGTGTTAGAAAACTGCCAGTCACCATCACTGGAGCTCCGACAGTCATTATTAAATAACTCCTCCAGCTTCTCTGTTCCAGGAGACATAACTCAAGTTCCTTTTATTAAAGCTGCTCTCCTGGGTTCCATTTTCTGTCTCTCTGGTTGTCTAGAATCCAGGGACACTGAACTGAAAGCCCCCAAACCAGAATAATCTGTCCCGATTGCCTGAATCACAACATCCTTCAAACTTCATATTTTTACTGAACTGAGAATTGTTGGACAGTTCCAGAGGGCCTTCTGGGCTTTGGAGAAATTAGCATCATAATTACATACAAGAAATCTGCAGAAACTGGGTGCGGCGCTTGCTGTCACTTACCTTGAGAACTTGGACACCTTCCTTAAGCTCTATTAGCTTTGGTTTCCTTGTTTTAAAAATGAGATTAATAGACACCCGTGGAAAGTGGTTGTGAAAACTGATAGGCTCTGCCTACAGCCCAGTGCCTGGCATGGAGTGATGCTCAATTCATGGTAGCTGCTACTGGCTTCCATTTTCTCTTTCACTTTCTGACTTCCTCTCCTGCCTGCCCCATGGCCAGCCTATCATCTCTCCTCCCTTTGTCTTCACCTGAAGACCGAAAAAGGAACCTAAGCCTTTCTCCCTGCTCCCTTGCCCTGGCCAGCAGGAGGGGATGTTCCCCTCTGGACACAGCAGATCCTGACAATATCTGTTCCTCAGTTGCTTTGGGAAGGGATTTATAGGCTGCCCCACAGCTGATGGGAAAAAAGATGTCTCTTCCAGCAACTGCTAGTGCTGGGAGTGTGCAATGGCTCCCCAGGGCAGTGTGGAAGCCACCTGAGAAGTTTTGACCATAAGAGACATGAAACATCCTTGAGAATGTTCTAGAACAACAGCTAAGGTGGCCTCCTGGGAATCCACTCCAGCCCCTGAAAAGAGTCTGTTTGTGACAGCACAGAAGTCAAATGAGCAAACAATGCAAAAAGGAATGCGCATGTATTTAGCCCCACCATGCAGTGACCTAAGCTATATCTGGTGGTTTTTGTTTTACTCTGATTTCAATTATTTTCTTAGGAAACTATAAACAGAACGTCTTCTCCCAATCTCAGAGTAGAAAGAACAAGAACCTTGAAACCAGACTTAAAATGCAAATGCCAGTTCCTCCACTTCTCATAGACATGACCTGGACATACTAATTCCTTCTCTGAACCTCATCTCTAAAGTGGGACAAATACATCTGTCTTCAAGGTCACTGCAAGGAATAGCAGAACATAGATAAACTGCCTTGCACCTAGCAGGTGTTCCAAAAATGATGCCCTGTCATATTGACCCCCTGCTCAAAACCCCTCACCTGGTGTAGCTTGGTGGTGGAGTGGTTGCCTAGCGTGTGTGTGTGAAGCCCTGGGTTCCACTTGTGTGCACGCTCCAGTGTGCCTCATTTAACTGTAAAGCCACACCCACATCAGCCCCATTTGTCCAGCAGCCTGCGGTGGTGCTGGGAGCGGCAGAGGTGGGGAATGTGGGCGGGTCCAAAGTGGGGCAGGAGCAAAATGGGGCTGCTCCCAGGAGCAAGAGGCATGTCTGTCTATAAACTGGCCTTGCTGGCCACCTCGGGGAGTCCCAGGCCACTGTATCCTTACACTCTATCCGGATCTGCTCCAGTTCTGTCACCTCAGCGATGGACTCCTTCAGGTCCTCCACGAACTTCTGCATCTCATCAGAGCCCAGGGCACAGAAGTGCAGCATCTGCTTCTTCTCAGAGCCCGAGACGGGGGTCACAAGTGTGATGCCATGAGAGTAATCTGGAAACCAGCCCCAGGACCCCAAGGGTTGTGAGCAACAGCAGCATCAAGGGCTAGAGCCAGCCAGATGTGGGGAAGGCATGGAGTCTTTGTGTACTTGCCCCTTCACCTGCCCCCCAGCCCTTTTCCCTCTACTTCCCCCACTCCCCCATGTGCCTGTCTCAGGGTCATTTATTCATCATCAAGGCTTATACTCCAGACCTGGGGATATAGCTCAGTTGGTAGAGTGCTTACCTGGCATGCACAAGGCCCTGGGTTCAATCCCCAGCACTACCACCAAAAAAAAAGGGGGGGGGGCTTACACTCATTCTCAAAGAGGTGGAACTGCATGCCCAGCAGGCCGACTGACTTGCAGAAGGTGTATGTGGAGGAGCTCTTCTTTTTGGGGCACAGTTTGAGAATCTGCCAAGAGAGGAACAGGAAAATTTACTGACTATGGTGGATTCCTGACAACATGCATATGCACACACACATGCACCAAAACCCAGGGACACTTGTGAATACACCAATCAACCCACAAACACACACACACACACACACATACACGTGCATGCATTCAAGATATATTCACACACATATATACATGTACAGATATACATGTGTGCTTTTCACTGATGAAAACCTACCTGTGGCTGTTGCCTCTGCACTTAGAAGCCAGTCCCATTTCCTGCCCTTGCCTGTAAGCCTTACTGGATCTGGCCACTGTTTACACTGGCTTTATGAAGGAGCCACACTGTTCTCCTTTCTGCAGCTTGAAAAGGGGCAGCTCAGGGCCTTTGCACATGCTGTTCTCTTTCTATAGTTCTTCCTGCAGCTTTGTGTGTGGCTGGATTACCCTCATTACTTAGGTCTTGACTCAAATGCTACTTCTTTAGAGATACCTTCCTGGATCATCCTATGTAAAACATAAACCAAAAACAAACCAAAGTCCTCTCCCTTGACCTCAGTCTCTCTGATCTGTCACCCTGTTTTATTGTCTTTGTAGCACCTTACTGCTATCTGATATTCTTTTTCATTTATTTGCTTAATTGTTTTCTCTCTCCCTCTCCTACTAAAATGAAAGTTTAGCCAGCCAGTTGCTCAGTATATAAGTATTTTATTAGCACCTCCTCTGAACTGGGCTCTGGGATTACAGGTGTTATGGTTTGGATGTAAGGTGTCCCCCAAAAGCTAACAAGTGAAACAATGTAAGAAGGTTTAGAGGAGAAATGATTAAGTTGTGAGAGTCTTAACCCAATCAGTGAATTATCCCCTGATGGGGATTAGCCGAGTGGTAACTGAAGGAGGGCAGGATGTGGCTGGAGGAGGTGGGCTTTGGCGGCGTAGCTTTGAGGTATATATTTTGTATTTGGGAGTAGAGTCTCCCTCTCTGCTTCCTGATCAGGTGAGCTCTTCCCTCTGCCACGCTCTTCTCCCATGAGGTTCTGTCTCACCTGAACTCTGAGGAATGGAGCCGGCTGTCTATGGACTGAGACCTCTGAAACCATGAGCCCCCAAATAAACTTCTCCTCCCCTAAAATTGTTCTGGTCAGATCTTTTATTCACAGCAATGAAAAAGCTGACTAAAACAACAGGAGGGCACAAGAAGTGCCCCTGCCCTCAAGATGTGGTGCTGGAGGAAGACCGTCAAGATGTAATTCAGTCAATCAATAAAGCATAGTGAAGAAAGGGGTAAATAAGGTAATTTCAGAAAATGGTGTTTTGAAGAAAATGAAACAGGGTAAGGAACAAAAAGTGACCAGGCAGTCTGCCTTGCTTGGTGGGCAGGAGGGTCTACCTGGGGAAAGGTATTTGAATTGAGATTGCATAGAGAGGGCAACTACCACACCAAGGTCGAGCGGAGATTCCTAAGTGAGGGAGCAGCCAGAAGACAGTCCTGGTTGGTGGGAGCAGCCCCCCTGGGGCCAGAGCTCTGGAGCAGCCCCAGGAGTGCGTAGGAGATGCAGTCCAAAGACCTGGGCCCTCCCCTACCCGGGGAGGCCGTTTGGAGCCCAGGTGGGACCTGATGTGCACTCTAGAAAGATGGCATCACAGCCTGTGGAAGGAGGCCTTTGTGGTGGGGTGCCAGTAGACAGTGAATGTCCCTAGGGGAGGCTCTCGGGGTGGGATGACATGCGGCAGTGGAGGAGTGAGAGGGGATGCCCAGGAGGCTCTGAATAGAGAGGATGTGGGTGGTACCACGGGAAGATATATCTTGTTGAAAACCTGCTCACCCCTGTTTCCGGGCGCTTAGAACATGCCTGGCACATAGTTGACACTGATTAAAGATCTGGTGACTGCATACTTGTTTTCAAAAAGCACAGAACCTCCCAGTCGTGTGTATGTATGTGTATGTGAGCAGGATGCTCACGTGCAACCGGCGCCCACCCAGCTCTCCCCAGACCGAGGCGTAGCACATGCTCCAAGTGGGCCCACGGTCCCTGCCGGGCCTTGAGACGTGAAGCACATTGCTGTGCTCCCCGTCCCAGGTTTTGTCTTGTTTTGTTTTGGAACTTGGAATGGCAGATGGTTTGGGGTCTACTTCACTGCCACCTTGGTGGGTCTCTCTGCTTCAAGTAGGAAGGGTCACATTCTCCTGAGCTACCTCACACCCACGATGTGTAAATGCCAGGAAAACGGTGACTCAGGCACGGCGTGGAGAGCATTCTGTCTGCGAGCTCTGGCCCCCCCACCCCTCCACTTCAGAGTCCCATTCCAGACTGAGCCGGGAGGGGGGCCTGGGGCAGCTTCAGCCCTGGCCCCGCCCCGCCCCGCCCCGCCCCGCCCGGCCCGTCCTTTCTGCTCACCACCAGCAGGTCGTTGAAGAGGAACACCTCTCTCTGATGCGCCGCCTGCTTCTGCAGCTTGTTCACGTCGGTCACCTCGAAGAGCCGGCTGCAGCAGACGAGCCGGCGGTGCGGCACCGACAGCACCTGGAACCCAGGCGCCGGCTGAGCCTACCCTGCACCCATGCTAACCCTCCTCCCTACCCCGCACCCCGCTCCCAGTTTCCAGCAGAGGAGCCGACTCAGGAAGAGGGGATGCCCTTCTGCCATTATAGCAGGGCCTGCACTTGACCCTTAAACTTCTTCTCTCCTCATCTGGGGCCTTTTCCCTTCGTCTCACTTCTCGGGGAGCAAAGCCAGAGGAGAAGGGGTTCATTATGCTAGAGGGAGTGAGGAGATTAAGGAGTGGGGAAAAGAACTCCAAAAGAGCCATCAATTGTTCGCATCCAGCCACTGTCAACATTTTCCATTCTGTGACCTTAAGGGCATCCCCCCCCCCCCCTCCAATGATTCCTCCATCCCTTTCTCTACTGCACACCCAAATGCAGGTGTGCAAGAGCGAGGAGATTACAAGGACACACGAACCTTCTCTAGTGGGTAAGAGAAGCAAACCATTTACAAACCAGACAGAGGCCTAAGACCTCAGCCACCAAGGCACTAAAGCAGACTGGGAGTGGGAGTCTAACAGAGCCCTGGAGGAGGCCCCCAAGTTCTCCAGCCTGCTCCCCAAGCCAGCCATTCAGTCAGGAGGGACTGGAACCTGCTCTTCCTCCTTTATATTCATGGTATAAAGCACTTCTGTGCCCATGTGAGTAGTGCTGTAATCTACCCAGGATGCTCACTTGAAAAATCGTTGCACAAACTCACATTAGCTAAGTTATGGAACCAACTCAGGTGCCTGTCAATAATTGAATGAATTAAGAAAACGTGGCATACATACACAATGGAGTTTTACTCAGCCATAAAGAATGAAATTACGGCATTTGTCAGTACTTGGATGGAACTGGAGGACATCATGCTAAGAAATAAGCCAAACTCAGAAAAATCAAGGGTTGAATGTTTTATATGTGGAAGCTAGAGCAAAATAAGGGGAAAAATGGGAGCGGGGAGAGTCTGATACCAGAAGAATAGAGGGAAGACCAGTGGAGTAGGAGGAGGAGGATGGGGGGAGGGGAGGAATGGGAAGGAGAAGGAAATGTGAAATGTATTTGACAAAATTATGCTGTGTGCATGTATAAATAGACCACAGTGAATTAAAAATATCATTACACACTTGGAACACATTGCCTGTGACACAGGTTACAATGAAGGGGCACCTCCATGGTTTGAGGCACCAGTCTATAGCCCATTTCCAGGAATTCCTGGTATCCATGCCATCCTGGAAAGGGATTCTAAACTTCTCCATCTGGCCATTCAGATACTTCAACCTTATACCACAGGGCAGTCCTTCTTGACATCTCAACCATAGTCTGTCCTGCTGTGGCAGCTGGTGGTAAGAGGCAATGTGGATATTATGCAAGGGAAAGAACAAGGCGCAGCACCTGACACACAGTGAATGGATAACAGAAAAGTGTTTTTAAAAGGTAAGGAGGAGAGTGGGAGGAGATGTTAGGAAGAAGGAAAGGAAAGGAGATGTGAGATAGGGGTGGCTTGGTAGCCATGGGAGAGGAAACCAAATCCCACATGCTCCGTGGTGGACACTTACTGTCTTCATGCCCACAATGGACTTCTCCACCTTGGTGACATACGTGACATGATCCTCATTGGACTTGAGCTCCTTCTGCTGAATCCTCTCATAGATGCCTACTACCAGCTCCCTGGGGATGTCAGCACCATCATCCACACCTGCCAACAGGGAGGGGGAGCAGGAGGAGAAGAGGGGGACAGTGGGGTTCAGAGCCCTGGACCATGGGGACAAAACCTTACCAGACAAGCTCAGGGAGGGTGGCCCATGCTCGTGTCAGGCCCTGCTCCTGTCTCTGTTCCAAAGCCTTCAAGAGCTGGTTCCCATCCTCTTTAAGGACACACTCCTCAGGAGGTATGACAGCTACGTATGGCCCCACGGCATTTCCAGGATCATCTGCTGATGTGTTCAGTCAGAACCTCCACTCTCACCTGGCAGGACCCTTTCCTGATGGCCCAATACAACCTCCATGTTCCTGCTAAGTGTCTTTGCTTCTGAGGTCCCACTGCCTTCTGAGGATCTGTCTTGACCTCCCCCAGCCCCACCCCAGGAGCATCTTTAGGATGTTCTGTCTTGTTCTCTTTAGGATCTCCCCGCCCCAGGCCCTCTCCTCCAAAAGGGAGTATGTTGTTGAGTGATCTTTGTGGAATGGGTGACAAGATTCTCCCCTTACTGGGAGCTTTGGAGGGGGTGGGGGACAGGCAGCAAAGAGAAGCTGGTAGGTTGCCTGTGGTGACCCAGGTAATGAGGCCCTCCACCCTGGCTCCTATGTCCCCATGAGGTCCACACTCGGGCAACGAAGTGTCCTAGCAGGAAATAGACCCACGTGAAAACAATTTTCTTTTGGAAGTAGAAACAGGAAGTAAGAAGTATTTCTTCTGTATATTTTCCCCAACCCTTTCTTATTTTTCTTTTCTTTTTTTCCCAACTCTTTCTTTAATGTCTACATGCTTCTTTTATAAGAGGGAAAAATTAAAAATAGAAGGACTTTGGCAAATGCCCTCAAAGGAGCTTTCCCAACTACTGAGAGGACGTCATGCCTTCTAACTCCCTATCTTGTCATTCCTTCTTCCATGTCTGATCTTGGTTTTTAAAGTCAGGCAAACAAGTGCTGCAGCATCCCAGGGGCCTGAAGAAATCAGGCTGTGGGTGAGAAAGAGCAGGAACACAGGTTCTCAGTTCAAGACTACCTCGATGCTCTCTGGATGCCCAAAAGGCCTAGATCCATCAAGAAAGACAAGAGGGAAAGGGACAGAGCACCCTGGGGTCTGGCAAGTGGATGAATAATGGGATGGATTAGCAAACCTAAGACAGCTGAAACCTAAACTAGCAGAGGTTAGAAGCCACCCAATACCCCACAGGTGGCAAAAGGAACTGGTGGCAACAGGAACCCCAGAGAGTGAAGTGGAGGTGAACTGGAGATAAACACAGGTGGAAAATGAGCTAGACAGCTGTCCTGTCTCCTCCTCTTTTCAGCAGATGACTGGTACTTAATCCTGAAGAAGGGCTAAACCAGGAATTTGGGGCTGGGGCAACTCAATCCCAGCCAGGGGTGGGACTCTGTGCTGAAAACAGGAAGATGAGGTTGATATCTATGTATTGAGAGACCTTGATCTCATTTCCCCCAAAGATCTCAGAACACTGGCAGCCAGAACTGTACCCTCTGAACAAAAGGTTGGACATTTATCTTCTGGTAAAAATCAACCAATAGAAAAGAAAATATCTACAGATCCTGCAGTAGCAGGTGACCAGGGAGCATCTTAACTAAATCACCCAAGAAAGGCCACAAGTGAGCAGGCCTCACCTGCACCCACACAGCTTTAGATCAGCTTTTCAGTAGCTCCCTCTTGACTACAGACAACCACATTTCATCAACTATGTTTGGAAGGTCTGTAACATAAAAGAGAAAGAAATAAAAGGATAACTGGAAAAAGGAACCCAGAAGGAACAGGCAAGCAGGTAGCCAGTAAAACAAACAAATAAGAACATATGAATATCTTCAAAGAGCTACGAGAAGATATTGCAACTAGTAAACAGGAATAAAATGCTATAAGAGAAGAACATTCAGAGAACAACAACAACAAGTTACTGGAATTGAAAACAGTAACAGTAGGAATGAAAAATTTGGAAGGCGGCTTTAAAGTTAAAGCTGAGGGACATCTTCCAGAAAGTCAATCAAGAAAACAATGATGGCATATAGAAAACTATGAAGATTAGAAGATCAAGTAGGAGATCCAAAATCTTAATAACAGGAAGTGAAGAAAGTACAGAAAATATGGAGAAACTAAATGGTGTGCCCTGGTGTCCACGGGTTCTGTGTCTGTGGGCTCCACCAACAGACAAACAGAAATATTTCTAAAAGCCTGCATCTGCCCTTCCTTGTCATTATTCCCCAAACGGTGCTATGTAAACAGCAAGACCACTATTTGCATTGCATTTGATATTATAAGTAACCTAGAGGTGAATTCAAATGTATGGGAGGATGTGCCTAGGTTTTATATATAAAAGGCACTTGAGCATCTGAGGGGTACACTGGAAAGCAATTCCCTGTGGATTAACAATATTTAGTAAATATAAGAGATAATAATATTTAAGAGAACCTTACACATTTGGAGGTTGTGTGTTTTTAGGCTGTAAAGATCAACTCAGTACTGAGCACAGTGGGTGGAAACAGAACCCTAGCAAGGAGCATCATTATGAGAATTGAAAACACGAAAGGCAAACAGAATCAACAACTTTTCAGAAAGAGAGAAAAAGAGTGTGTAAAAAAGGCCAGGAATTCAAACGGTAGAGCAGCACTGTCAGCTAAGGCACGATGGCAAAGTTTTAACATTCCCATTTACATGTTTACTTCTGGAATTCTGTTGGACATTTGCTGTTCCCAGCAAACTCCCAATCAAAGGTGCAAATAGAGACAGGTATATTTGAAAATGCAAGTTTTCAAAAATGTTTTTCTCCAAGATGCCTTTTCTTTGAAAGTCATCTAAAAATGAGGAAGCTATGATATTTAGGAACAAGAAATCCAGCCCAGGAGACTCCTGGATGATGGATTGTGGCTGGCCTGGCCCAACAACCATCCAGATAGAGCAGAAGCAAAGGCCCTGGGAGACACGGCTGCAAGAGGATGGGAGTCCTGGGGTTCCTCCCAGGTCTGTGTGATTGACAGGAATTGGATAATCAGGGGCAAGGACGGGATGGACTGGTGGCAGGTATCTAGAGAGCTAAGGAAATAGAAAAATAATACAAGTACTGACTCCAAGGAAAATAGAAATGGAAAGGAATCGTAACTCAGGTTTGCACTGTGTGTAGCCAGCCTCCCTAACGTGAACACTGGTTTTAATGGGGATGGTGTGGGGAAGGCAGATGGACAAGAGCTAAATTCTGAAGTTGTATAATGGGAAATTAAAATATAATGCTTAAAAAATTAAAAAACTAATAAGCAACAGTGTTTAAGAGAAACCAGATACCAATATGTATATGTGTGTATTTATGCACATATATGCACACATCTGTATGTATCTATAAATATCTGTCTCTCTGTATATATTTCTGTCTAACCTAATTTATATAAAGTTCAAGGATTGGCAAAATAATGGTGCTAGAAGGCAGAATAGTGTTCAGCTTAAGTTTAGGCAAGTGTATCTAATGGGATGCAACAGAAGAATGTTCTGGGATGATGTAAAAATCAGTATGTGGATACAGGTGCAATCACACAGGTGTCTATGAAGATAAACAGTCATCAAGCACTCAGATTTACATACCTTGTATAATATGTACTTTATACCAATTAAAAAAGGAATAGAAAAAAAAAAGAAGCAGGACAATGTTACTTATTGATATAGAGGGAACACAAAATAAATAGCTAATAGGTGCTTGCTTAGCATATATGAGGTTCTGGGTTCCATCCCCAGCAGCACAAAATAAACAAACAGCTAAAAATGTTGAAAGTGTTTGCCCCTGGAAAAGAAGAAAGATGAGATGAGCAAAGACTAATTTTTTTCTGTAGTGAGCCTTATAGAATTATTTTGATCTTATTAAATTATATGCATGTATAACTTTGATTTTTTAAAAAAAAAATGCCAAAAAACATCAAAGGACTTGGCTGGCAGATGCTGTACAGCTGCCTGCAAGGTTGAATAAAATGGACCCAGGACCTGAAGGCTCTGTTCCTGGCTCTTCTCTCCTAAGTTGTAGAGTGCGGAAGGGCTAATGACACCCAGGTGCCCACTCTGGTGCCCGGGACCTACAGGCCATCCAATGGAGAGTATTCACATTGCCCAAGGGCCTCTGCTGCTTTGAAGATGAGCAAGCAACCTTCCCAGCCTGCCCTGGGGTGACCAGACCCTGAGAACAGCTGACAATCTACAGTTAGGTCTCAGACTCACAGAATTAATGAACTGGCCTGGCCCCCACCTCCTCACCTCGCAGGTTCCGGATAAAGTCCTCCAGCATCATCTTCCGGTCAGGCTTAATGTTGGGGCTGTACATGTCGGTGTTGAGGAGGATGATGGCAAAGGCCAGGATGAAGATGGTATCAGGGTTGTGGAACTGCTGCACCACCTCAGGGTTGCACATGCAGTAGCGCTGGCTGTGGTGGGGGAGACACAGGGTGGCACCACGAGCTTCCCAAGCTCCAGCAGTGGGCACTGTTGAGGGGATGACCCAGCTCCCCGAGGGCTTTGGGCCCAGGGAGATAATTGTCTGCCCCATATGGCAGTCCTCTTCCCCACTGAGAAGACAGGCTAGCAGCACTTCTCCCCAGGTGCCCCCCAGGACCAGCCTCACACAGATGCTCAATACAAATGTGCTGGCTGGTGGGGACGAGTGACGGGCAGTGGATCTGGAGGGCCCCATGTTGCTTCCAGCTTAGAGGGCTCAAGGGGTTCTGCCCCCTTTGTTTCCTTTTCTCCTTTCCCTCCAGCCCACCCTCATGCCTGCCTCAGAAGGGTGATCCCCCCTCACCTCTGGTCTCTGGAATCCCAGCTGCTCTGCTTCCCCACCCACACTCCCATGCTCTAGGCACATGTGAATGAGGAAGGGGTCCTACCTGAAGGCCTCTATGAGCCGCTCCACCTTCTGGGCCTCCCCCTGCACACGGATGTGAGCCTGGAACTTCCGCAGGGCCTCATCCAGCTCCATGCTGGAGAAGTCCATCTCATCCACCACACAGCTGAGGGCAGGTGGAAGGAGGGGTGGTGAGGACAGGTGGGGACCCTCTGCTGTACTTGAGCTGGGGGATGTACAGCCAGGGCCCTCTGAAGTGGGCAGAAAGGATGGACATAGGGTCTCCCAAGCTCACTTCCCCTCAGGAGTCTTCCAGGAATAACCCAAGAGCACAGTGTTTTCGTACCTTCTCTCTACCAACACAACAGCCCTGTCAGGCAGGCCACAGGCTGTAACCTCCATTTCACAAGCCAGAAACCTGAGGCACAGAGCAATCAGCCGGTGCCCAAGGCCGCAGAGGCAGGGGGAGGCTGAGGTCAGACCCTCCTACTCCAAGTCCCAAGAGCCCAGAGTGAAAGCAAGCTTAACAATGGAGTAACAGCTGCGGCCTGGAGTCCCAACTAGGCAGGAAGCTAAGGCAGGAAGGAGCACTTGAGTTCAGTAGTTTGAGACCAGCCTGGGAGATAGAGTAAATAAATAGAAGGCATTTTTCTGATCTCTCAAAGACCTGTTGGGGAACCCCAGTTCTCAGGGGAGGCTTGTTGGGTAGGCTGGGATCCCTGAGGAGTAAATGACATATCTGATTTAATGTGGGATGGGGCACTGTGATGCACAGAGCCAGGTTCTGGTCCTGGTCCTTGGCTGAGCTTTTTGTGACTTGAATTGATGGACTCCCCCCTTTTAAGCCTCAGTGTGTTCTTCTGAAGAGGGAGGAGGTCAGAGTCCCTGCTCCTCAAGGGACTTTCTACCTGAAATGCCACTCGCAACCTGAAGGGTTCCTCGAATGTCCCATTGCAGTGAGTGGTGGGAAGAAGAGGAGTTGGGGACACCAACCAATCCCCCTGCTTAATAGTGGTCTCATTTTTCTGGCCTGGATCTCTCCCGGAGGCCTCCTCAGCCCCTACATCCTGCCTTGTCCTCCTTTGGGGTGGTCCCACAGGCCTTGTTCACCAAGGCCTGGCAAAGCTGCAGACCTCCTCTGAGCATCTAAGCATTGTTCCTCCCTGCAGGCTGATCACAGAGCGTGAGGCGGTCGTAGCTGCTGACAGACTCAGAGCTGTCTTTCCCTCTTTCCCCTCATTTCTCTCCTCCCTGCTGGCTCCTTACAGCCTTGACCCCCACTGCGTAGTGCTACCATGTGGCTAGGCAGGACTCCCAGCCCCCACACCCTTGGCCAACTCCAAGGCAGTATCTAAACCCCAGGCATTAATCACCTCTCACAGTTCCTTGGCCCTCCAAGGTGTGCCCATGGCTACAAGCACGTGATTCAGTGCACAGCACACCCACCAATGGCTCAGAAAACATCTGCAGAGTGGCCACGCGAGGGATGGGCTCTGAGCAGGACCCACCTTCTCCATGTTCCTAGAAGACCAACAGACCCCAACTCTGGTGTCAACTGTCAGGAGAAAGCAAGGGGAGTTGCCACAAGGTATCTTGGTGGGCTTGGAGGTCTGCCTCCCCCACTTCTTTCAGGGGAGGGATAAAGAGGAGAAAGAGTGTCACCAATGAGTTCTAGAGAGGAAGGGTAGGGCTGAGAAGTAGTTAGAGGCTTCTCTCCTTCCTGACCAAGGGCAAAGCCATGGCCATGATCAGCTAGCTGCAAGCTCATCCTTGCTTGGGGGGAGGCCTGCTCTTCTCGTGCTTGTCTGCCTGGTTAGGAGTCGGGAGAGATGGGCTGGGAGCTGGAGGCAAGAACCTTGCCTGAGCATAAGAACCAAAAATGTCAGTGTGTGGGCACTGAGGGATGACTGGGCAGGTCCAGCCAGGTGAGAGGACACTCCAATTTCCCGGTGGCTCCCATAACTTCACCCTGCACCCTCCCCAGTTGTAACACAGCTCTGAAGACAGCACCATCGGGCCCACATCTGTGAGTCTCCACAGCCCAGCCCAGCAGGGGATGGGCATTGAGCACCACTGAGCCACAGAGCAATGCTTTTCTGGAAGAGACCCAGTGACAGAGACCCAGAACCAAGGAGAAGAGGGCACAGGGAGGAGAAGCAGAGAACAGAAGATAATGAGACAGAGAGGGAAAGAGACAGGGAAAGCTAGAGAGTGAAAGAAAGAGGCAAGGAAGAAAAGGAGGGAGAAAGATCAATTTAGAAAGGGGGAGAGAGCTGGGCGAGAGGGACAGAGCGAGAGAGAAAGAGAGATAGAGAGATGATGTAGATGAGGAAGACTGAGGTGGATGAGCCAGGGCATGAAGCAGAAGACAGCCACATTGTGTCCTCTCACCCCTGGGGCCTCCACACCTAGGAGGCCAAGCAGGAGGACAGTGGGCCCAGCCTGGCCAATGCAGACCAACAAGCCTGGCTCCTCCTGGTCATCCCAGGATGACCCTTGGCCCCTGTGGTCTGGCACCCAGCTGCTCCCCACGACTGGCTCCCATTTGTCCATCTACCCTCCCAGCCTCTCCCCTGCCCTTTCCTTGTGGGCTCCTGAACTGAGGTCTTGGTTTCTCTTCCCTCCTCCATATCCCACCCTCCACCCCGCCTCTCTCCATGTTCCTTCTGCCCCAGAGCTCTGGACCAGTCCTTCCCCTGCAAAAATAATGACGGAGGTGGGTGCTGGAGGCCAGGGCACCATTGGGGGAGGTGGCGAAAGGAGGTGGCAGCTGGAGAGAGTGGGATCTGCTCAGTCAAGCACGATGGCCTAGTTTCCCGTCCTCCACTCAGGTGACATGCAGCCGGTTTGCATGCTCACCCGCTTGGGGCTGTGGTTAAAAGCTCCAGTAATGAGCCAAGAGCCCTGGACCAAAGGCTGGGCTGGGAGATCAGCCAGGTGGAAACACCAACCACAGAACAGGGAGTGCTGGATAAATCCTTCCTGGGCCTGCGGGTTGGGGGGACCTCAGGGGAGGACTTCTGGGCTTCGGAGCTGGAGCAGCCTCTAATTCAGCACCTTCCAGTGCAAGGAGGTGAGAGGTCATGCGGGAGGGATGAAAGGAAATATGGATGCCCCCCCCTGCACCCCGATTCTTGCTTTCCTCTCTGCAACACCACCGTGGGGTGTTATATGGTCCTGAATTTCTCGGACCCTGGGGGCAAAAACTCAAGTTGCCCGACTACAAAACTGCCAAGTAGGGGAGGGGAAGGCCTGAGTAGTCTCTGTACTCCTCCCCAAGGCAAGCCGCTTCCTCTCGATGCAGAACCCACTCCCCAATTCTGACGTCCCCTAGCCAGAGCCCAGAGAAGGGCGAGCCCACAGCCGGTCTCTAAAGGTGCTATATGCTCCCCATGGTGCACTCTGTGTCCTCTTGGGGAAGGGGCTGGGAGGGGACTGTGTGCCCCCCAGCGTGCTGCTCCTGTGGACCTTCACCTCAGGGTCTTGCTGCCTTGGAAGCATCATCAATCCTTGTCCCTCACAGCATGGTTCTTTTGGCCTCTCTCCTGTACCTTTCAGCCAGCACCTTGACCTCTTCTTCCTCTCTCCTCTTTGCTTCTCTTTCCATTGCTTCTATTTTGCAGCATCTAGCCCTTTAAACTCCACCCCGCTCCACCTTTCTTTCCTACCCTGGAATCCCTGTGGGGAGCAGACTGGTGACAGTTTATCAAATCCTTCCTGCTACTTTGACCCAGGACAGTCACCTCTCCTTGTTGATCACCTTTAAGGAAAATAACATCATACATTCCAGGTGTCTTCCCTGGTTGGATTCTCTTTCCATTTTACAGAAAGGAAAACTGAGACTACATAGGGACTTGCCCCACACTCCCACTACTAGAAAGCAGGCTTTCGGATCCAACTGGGCCCTCTCGGGTGCACCCCTGTGTGTCCACTGGGGCAGCATGTGGTCCAAATGCCAGTGGGAGGCTCTTGTTTAATGAGTGTTGTTCTTAGTGCTTCACTAATCACACAATGACTTAATCTCCTCAAGCCTGTGCAGTATTAGCCATTTTCAGGAAACTGATGCTCACAGGAGAGTCGGCCCTGCAGGGGGACTGCACACATCACATTCCTTGTGGGCATCTCCTGGTCTAAGCAGGGCTGCCATCTCCCACTTCCCACTGCTCTCTGCGGCTCAGTGGCTGGTGCTAATGTGTCTCTCCCCTGGGGGCTGCCTTCTTCCCCAGATGCCTGGTGGGGGCCTGGGAGGAATTCAGGAGGTATGTTCCAACACAGTGTGGAGGCTGATTATTGGTGTGTGAGGAGGCCTTTGTCCATCGGTAGCCAGCAGGAAGGCTGTGTGGGCACCTGCAGTTCAGAGCTGGCTTGGGCACACAGCCCACGGCAGGGGCTCTGACTTCCCACCTCCCTACTTCTAGAGCTTTTCCTGACCCTGATAGTGGCTGGCTGGCTGGCTCTCTTTCAATGAACACACATTGAGTGACTCCTGAGTGCAAAGGGTGGGCAAAAAATACAAACACAGTCTCCGTCCTGGAAGAGAGATAGACATTAAATGAAGAGTTGAAAATAATTCTTTGTATGTGTGATGAGTTCTATGCAGAGAAAGGGCATGGTTCCATGAAAGGACGAAGCAGAGATTATTTTATATTGCTGTGTCCTTAAAGGCCTCTTTGGGGACATGACATTTCAGCTGATATCTTAAAGATATGTAGGGTTGAACAGGAAGAGGGAACATATGCCAAGGCCCCGTGGTAGGAAAGAACTTACAAGAACCTAGAAAGGGTCAATGAGAATGTCGTGCAGAGTAACAGGGAGAATGGAGGATAGTGAGGCTATGGAGGTGGGCATTTCTCTCATGGCCTGCAGAGAGAGATCTTAGAGTTTATCCTGAATGTGGTGGAATACAGTGGCAGGGAATGATCAGGGGAGTGACGTGATCCATTTTGTTTTAAGATCTCTCTCGTTGTTGGGCAGAGAATGAATGAAAGGGATGAAGGAGAGAACAAGAATGAGCTGGACCCTGAGTCAGGACGCTACAGCAGAGATCCAGGCTAGAGGTGATGAGGCTTAGGTAGAGACACAAGCAGCAGAGACAAACTGAGTGTTTGGTCCGAGCAACCTCTTAGGTGATAGGAATGTGGGAGGGTGGAAAAGGAGGAGTCAATG